GGATTTGATTGCATGAGGATAGCTGGCACTACCAAGCTACTCCAGAATTCCTTAAACAAGCTTCTCTATAAACAAAGGCGGCAAAGCTCCACTAGTTCCACTATTTCATTAACTAGTGGAATGAGCTTGACCATTATTCATCTTTCATTTGCTATATAGAGCAGCTAGCTTACTTGCATTATGATGGCTAACAAGTATAAAATCAGATGGGAAAGCAGCTCACTTGTGTAGTCCAAGTAGCATCGTAGAGGCAGCCATCCATGTTTAAACAGGCGGCACCACAATGTTGAGCAGGTGGCAACGCTAGCCGGCAGTAGCACAAGCAATATGGGCAGAGGCCGTATGTATGTATAGACACCATGCCGAATAAATTTTTTTTGAAGAAACAACTGGCACCATGCAAGCCCCAAGCAGGCGGCACCTAGAAGTTGTCCCTCAAGAAAACAAGTGGCCTTATGATTAAATGACAACTGCTAATTGGCAAGAACTCACCTAAAGCAGCCGACACTTGGTTGAAAGGGCATGAGCTAATACGGGTCTTCATGCTTTTGAAATGGGGGCCTAGTCTTATGATCATTTTTGTCTAAATAAAGCCAAGCACGTAAATAGCGTGCAACCGACATCATGCGCTAGTCACCGAGTTTCAGTCGGCATTTACATTGTGGCTCATTGAATTGTGATGCAATGAACAAAGCCCACCTTTTAAACAACCGGCCTTTGAAATTTTTTGCAAGTGTAGGCGGAGCATGGTCGCCCATGCTGGAGCAGGCGGCAGCTACCTAGCACCTAGGCAGGCGACAGCCGGCTTAGTACCATGCACGCAGCAGCCAACCAACACCCAGTCAGGCGAGGCGGTTAGGTGGCATTCAATGGCACTCACAAGTATTTTACAAACGTGAACATTTCTCTTTATAAGAATTATTAATAACACAGCCGACCAGGAGCCTTGAACTTGGCTATGTTGGGATGAGGTAAACAGCCGGCACTCAATAATCACACAAACGGCCAAGCTAAAACAGTCGGCCTTTGAAAGAGCTCGCGAGTACGATGCGAAGCATGGGTGTCTATCCTTGAGCAGCCGGCATTAACATCAACTAAAGCGAGGCCTCAGTTCCAAAGCCTACCCAGCCATCCAACCAGACGTCCAACCATCATTAAAACAGGCGACCCTTATTGCTCATCAACCATTGAGGTGTCATCACAAGCAGCAGGCGGCCATCATGGTGGAAAATGAAACAATAAGCTTCCTAAACAACCAGCCTTATCACAAGAGAAGAGGCGCCCAAGCGAGACGACCCGGCGAAGCTTACTTCAAATCTTGAAAGCAAGAGCTATGGGTATTTTCAATGGCCGCATGGTTCGTAGTAAAGCACTTGGCCTTGAGCAGCCGGCATCTAAAGGTACCCAGCAACTGCCCAGGCGGCTCTTAACCACATTCGGCTATGTATACATAAAATACATAGCGTTTAATTGCAACTAGCAGACATGAACATTTCATTGAAAAGGCATGAGTTCAAACTTAAGAAAAATACAAGTAAAATGCTGAACTCACGCTCTCGTCTGCCGGCTACCCACCTTAGTTGCTAAATGGTGTCCGAAACAATTCTGCCTTGATTGTCATAAACTAACCGTGAAACTCCAAATTGTTTGAGAATGTGCAAGGCGGCACCTCAATGACGAAGTCTAAGCTAGCAGGTGGCAACCAAGTAATCAAGAAGCTATGAGTGCTATGCTCTCCTTTGATACCAGCGACATTGGATACAAATCAGAGCAAATCATTAAAACAGCAGGCTTAGTATCAAATGACAATCAACGAGATTAGCCGGCTATTTTCAGCTAGGCGCCTAATCTTGGATCGTTGAACCATTGAAATCGTTCACAATACGAAGCGGAGCAACCGGCACCTCGGCATCGTTCCTCAAGCTAGCAAGCAACAGCCGACCAAAACCATGCGAACAACAACAAGTCCCTTGTATGTATAATAGTAGACGACATGCCCCACTACATGCAACGAGCAATTTTGGTAAACACAAAATTACTGCTAGAACGTCACGAGCCGCATGGTAGTAGCAGCCAGCTTTAAACTAGCTAGGCGCATTCTCTTGGACCTTTGAGCCGTCAAAATTACATTAATTTGTGTAGCAAAAGCTTGGCAGCCACATTCGGCATGGTAGGTTCTACAAAATAGGCGGCACTTGATGCAACAAACATCCAGCCAAACATGTTAAACAACATGCGGCAACCACCCCACTTCAATTCCAACCATGCATACTCCTAGACTCGGCAAGCAAGCATAAACACCGAGCTTAACTTGAGAAGTCACTCTTGCCCCCTGATTTTCTTGGTTTTCAAGATGTTACACGCAAGCCCTCGTGATTATAGGATCAACTAGCCTTATCACGTGTAAAGGCGGACCTAGCGTAGGACATCTAAATATCTCGAGTGGGGCAAGACGGCTGGGCACATGCTATCTCCTCTTGTCCAAAGTTCATCATTATTATCATTATTATGATTATGTAGGCGGCACCCTATTTAAGACCCTCTACGAAGAAAAGTAGCCGGCCCCCAACATAGAACTTTGAACGAAATAAGTGACAAAGCCAGCTCCTGAGCCAGCAAGCTCACCAAGGGATCAAGGACCGGTGACAAATGTGTGGGTCGAGCCTTAAGGGAAATAGACACCAAGGTCACAAACTACATAAAAAGAAATTTTAACATGGCCACCTGTCCCCATTCAAAGAAGGAGGCGTCCAAACGTCATCAATCCTCTATGGAAGGGAACTAGGTGATCCATCTGCTCTAACACTTGAAATTATTTCAATACTTGATACTGATTCAGAGGGGCAGGCCGCCTATACATTTACAGTCGCTTACTCTGCATTGAGTATTTCACTTTATCATCAGAGGGGCATGCCGTCTGTACCTTTACAGTCGGCTACTCTCCATTAAGTATTTTACTCTATCTTTAGAGGGGCATGCCGTCTGTACCTTTACAGTCGGCTACTCTCCATTGAGTATTTTACTCTATCTTCAGAGGGGCATGCCGCCTGTACCTTTACAGTTGGCTACTCTCCATTGAATATTTTACTCTATCACCATAGGGGCATGCCGTCTGGACATACAGTCGATTCCAAGACAGACGACCACCCTCCTATACTTAGCTAAAAAATGATGGTGGCCTGGCCGACCCTGTGCCTAAATAGGCAGCTTCCCTCCTCTTACTTAGCATCTGCGTCCACCAAAGGACTAACCAAGGCCACAGGCCGAATGATCAGATCAGGCGCCAAGCCAACTGATCCAATCTTCAAAAATAATACGACCTGTCCCAACATCATAGCAGGCGTCCGACGACATCCCTCCGGATGAAATTCGTCGCAGAGAGCAGCTCCTTTTTGGGTGGAACATTGCTCTATAAACTAATTACACGGCACCTATACGACTGTCCCCAAGGGCAACCGCGTAGCCGTTTTTGAGACAAGGATAACTCTATCACTAACCAAACCAGTGGTAGCAGTTGACATCTGAGTCAGATGACCGCCTGTATTACTTGGGATAAATGCAAGGGGTACCTCTTGAGTTAATAGCCAACAAACATTGGTGAATCAAAAGGTTCAGCCGGCCTCCGCCGCCTGGTTTCCCTACTACTCAAACAAAATAGGCAGTGATTGACTAACCTCAAGGTTAACTAGTCGCCCTCCTTAGTACAGAACCTAAAAGGTATGAGAGATCCGCCTGTTTTTTGGCAAACAAGGGCTCTCGACCACTATTCCTACTAGATCTGACAAAAGCTACCGCCCAGGCATAGCTACTCTGGCCAGGCGTCCCGTTCACAGAAACAGACGACCTGTCCCCATCAAACTTGGTGAAATTCACCAAATATTATGAAACCATGCCAAAACATTTTGGCACCACTATTCTTACTAGGTTGGCTATACTTAAAGCTGTCGTCTATAACCTAACAGGTGTAGCTACTTCGGTTGGACGTCCCGTCTGACGCCTGCTTCTATGCAGCCACCAAAGCAAACGACCAGCCATCCCCCAACGAAATAAACTAAGTACCAAACTTAGTATATTGAATCAAAAGAGGCCAATGGCCGAATAATGCTAAACGCTTACCCCTTATGCAATAGTTGACAGTCCACCTGATCAGGGGCTATCTGCATAGTGGGGCAAAGAATCGGCATCTGTCTAGTTCGGCGGCAATCATTATTATGATTGATTAACTTTGAAAATGTCATACCGACCAAGGTATCAAAATTTTCTAAGTTAATCAAGTCCATCTCCCATTAGAACTAGACAAGATGCCGACCTAGCAAAGCTTCGAGGGTCTAACTTTCGAAAGGAGCAATCCCTCCTGGAAAGAGAAATTACTCCTTCCGAGGGGAAAATGTTTAGGGTAAAAATTACCCATGACAAATGGACCAATCCGGACCTGCCACGTGTCCACCACGTGGGCCAATCAGCGTCCGCCACTTGTCACCCTAAGAGGTCCAACATGGACTAATCAGGCCACGCTACGTGGCCTCCCATATGCCAAATAGGCAAAATGGCCACCAAGGCCCAAAGTCCAAGAGAAGCCCAATTTGCCCCGGTTAACCTAAACCTAAAATTGGCACGCTTCTCAAGACTATAAATACTTAATTAATCCTCATTAAAGGGGATTCAGCAATTAATGACTCTCACCAAGAGAAAACCAAAACACATTGATCACTCCTCACCTAGAGGAACCAGATCTTCCAACCTTTACTTTTCCGCACTATTCACTCCTCAAGCAAGTACTAACTTGATCGTCGGAGGCGGAGCTCCTACCACAAGGAGTCTCCGTTTGTTTTGCAGGTACAGGCGCACGGATCCAGTCTCGGAATTGTAACTCTCCCGCAGGACATCAGAAAACCCCGAAACACACACGGCGCTCAGGGTCAGACGATCTTGAACCATTTGACTCTGAGATCAAGGCAACTATAAGGAGAAGGAGAACAAGAAATCGACGAAGGAGAAACATGGAAGACGCCACGAAATCCCTTTTGGAGTACGGTATTCCTGATACAACTACCAGATTCCTTTCTAGCATTGTCAGGCCACCTGTGACGGCTCAGCACTTCGAGCTAAAGCCACAATTCATTCAGTTCATCTCCAAAGATTCTTTTGCAGGCACACCACATGATTGCCCGGTAAGTCATATTGATTGTTTCTTGGAGAAATGTGATACTATGAAAATGAATGGTGTTACAGATGATGCTATCAGACTTCGCCTTTTCCCTTTCTCACTACGGGATAGGGCGAAGGAATGGTTGAGAGATGAAGGCACTGCCTCGTTTGATACATGGGAAAAGCTAGTGAAAGCTTTTCTAGTAAAGTTTTTGGGACAGGAAAAGACTGCTAGGTTAAAGAACGAGCTAGCTACCTTTCGTCAATCTGATGATGAGACTCTATATGAGGCATGGAGAAGATTCAAGCGCTTACAGAGACAATGCCCTCATCATGGTATCCTAGAGTGGTTGTTGATCCAAACATTCTACAATAGTCTGACCCATGAGTTCCGCATTTACATTGATGCTGCATCCGGGGGTTCTCTCATGACTAAGAACCCAACTAAAGCCAAGGAGCTAGTTGAGAAGATGGCAGCCAATGACAATTATCATCCAAGGGGCAGAAATACTGTGAAGACTAGAGGGAAATTTGATGTTGATGCTTTAACTCTCTTGACAAGTTCTATACAGGCATTAACAAGCAAGTTTGATAAAATCCAAGCTGGATCCACTTCCACTTCATTAGAAACATGTCAATTATGTGGTATTCAAGGCCATATTGCTCCACAATGTCATCCGCCCTCTGATGAAATGTCAATCGAGCAAGCAAATGCCTTCTATATTACGTCACCTAAAAGGCCGTATGATGCTCAAGCTCAATTGTATTCTCCACCACCACCACCTAATCTTCAAGCAAGGAAATCTTTTAATCACCAACCATGTATCAACAACTACCACCGTAAACTTCAAAATACAACCTCGATTCCACTATGGAGACTTTCACTACCTCCCTTCTTCGACAGCAAGAGCTTATGACAAAGCAATTTGAGCTACAAGCAAAGCAAAATGAACACTTTTTGAAGTTCAATTCAATTGCTTATGGATCAAAATAAGAGGATAGAAACCCACCTTTCTCAACTTTCACAACAAGTGAGTCATTTATCAACTCTTCATGATCAAGCAAAAGTTCAAAAGGAATAATGCAATGCAGTTTTCTTGAGAAGAGATGAATTATTTCCGAGGAAAATAGATTAGAAAGTGTGCAGTGTGGAGCCAAGAAAAGATGAACAGGGTGAGGATGTAAAAAGTCCCAAACATGCTGCTCCATCGGCCTATGAGGAACCAATGCCCTTCCCGCAAAGGTTGTCAAAAGCCGTGCTCGATAGACATTTTGGGAAATACTGCGAAGCTCTTAAGAAGGTACACACTTCTATTCCTTTTTCCGATCTCTTAATTCAAATGCCTCAATTTGCAAATTTTGTGAAGAATATTAAAGATCAACATGAGGATAAGGAAGTAGTAAATGAGAAAGGCTCTACTCTTTTATGTGATAGCCTACCACCTAAGCTGCATGATCCTGGTAGTTTCACTATTCCCTGTATGATAAACGAAAAAATTTTCGACAAGGTTTTGTGTGATTTAGGTGCTAGTGTTAATTTAATGCCTTGTTCATTATATGAAAAATTGGGTTAGCAAAAACTTAAACCTTCCCCTATTTCTCTTCAAATGGCTGATAGGACTTCTAGACTCCCTATGGGTGTGGTTGAGATGTATTAGCTAAGGTTGGTGAACTTGTTTTTCCTATTGATTTTGTTGTTATGGACATGAAAGAAGACCATAAGATCCTAATTATATTCGGTCGTCCATTCCTTGCCACAAGTCAAGCTCTAATAGATGTTCCTAAAGGACAAGTGACCATTAGGGCCCAGAATAAACAAGTCATGTTTAAGCTCTTTAATGAACATAATTTTATATTTGATGGTGGTACTTGTTTAAGAATTGATACTACTAACCCTTTGGTTGATAAGTGTGTATTTGGTAGAAATTTTGTGATAAACGAGGATAAAATTCCACCCAATGATGAGCTTAGCTACATGAAGGTAAGTTCGGATACAAAGCATGTCAAATATAAAATGAAGGAGTCACTTGGAGGCAGATATTTTCATGGGCAACATCGCGGAGTTCCTTCTTCGTGTGGTGACCTAGGTTGAGCTAACAACGAAGGTCAAGCTAAAGACCTTGATAAACTACCGCTTTGCGGGAGGCAACCCGTATTTTATTGTTCTTATTTTATTCTTTTCTAATTTTTGCGTGTTTTTGTTTGTCTTTGGCTTTTAGAGAGGTAAGGAAAGTGTAACTTGCGCTTGTGGGAGTTTGTTTTTGTGCAAATTTTGAGCCAAAGAAGAACTGAATTCATTCAAACGTTCAATCTCCTTCGTGCCCGATCGGGCATCCCTTGCCCGGTCTGACCGGGCGGTGAGGGTTGAGAATTAGCTTCAATTCTTCTTTCTTTCATGCTTCTCGCGCCTGATCAGGCAGCCCATGCCCGGTCAGACCAGGTACGCATACGGTTCATCAAAACTGCTCAAGTTCGACAGGCCATAAATTTTGCGTCACTTAACGGATTTTTGCGTGTGACCTATCGTCGGAAAGCTCTTCAAGTCTACTTTCCAATGAACGGAATGGTGTTCTTCTAACAAGTGTATTATTCGGATAGAGGGTTCAGAATTATTACATAGCTAATTCTTCAGTAAGGTCAAGTGAACGGAATGCCTAGGTGGAAGCCGCTTCCGATCAGTAATATTAAGGTACAATTAATATTACAGCTTAATCTTAACTGAACCCTTCGGGTTGAACCCAATCGAACAACCGATCCGAGACGACGAATTAATCTCAAAGCATTTAATTAGTCGACAGAGTTTTACGAATACAGACGTCGGATATCGAGCCTAGGGCGTCGTGACCAAGCTTCGCAAAATCACAAGCGACAAGTACGAGCATAGCCGTAGCTAGGCTAGGATAGCTAATCGCAAGCCCAGGCGCACCATGTGTGTGCTAGGCGCATCATGGTGTGCTAGGCGTAGCATGAGTGCCTAGGCGCCATCGCAGCCCTTGCATCATACACTAGGCGCACCATCGCTGGCACTAGGTGCTGGCGTGTGTGCGTGCCTAGCAGGGCAGCACCATCGCTAGCATCAAGTACTAGCATGGGTGCTTGCCTCACATCACAGCACGCTGAGCGTGTGTGAGTGCCAAGGCACCATCGCAGGCCTAGCACCACGCACAACACCATCGCAGTGCTAGGCACATGCGTGTGTGCGTGTGCGTGTGCACCATCGCCAAGCATCGCCCAGCAGCCTCGCAATGCAGCACCGAGCATTCGCATAGCTGTGTGCTTGCGTGCGTGCCTTTGCATGGCAGCACCAAGCACAGCAAGCTAGCAAGCAGCACTAGCCTTGCTCAGTGCGTGTGCATGTGCACCATCGCCCAGCACCAAGCCTAGCATGCGTGGCTCGCTAGCAGCACGCATGCTAGACCTTGCGTGCGTGAGGGGCTGGCAGGCATGGCTATGCATAGAGCCTGTGCGAGGGATGCGAGTGTGTGCGAGGCAATGCGTGGGAGTGCTGAGCTAGCGCTAGCATGCTAGCACAGCCTAGCACTAGCACGCACCAGCGCCAAGCATCGCCCAGCACCAGCACGCACAACCTGGCTGGGGATGCAAGGCTGCTGGCTAGTGCTAGCTTGCAGCGCTAGCTGGCACGCTAGCTGGCAGCCAGCACAGCCCTCCTTGAGGCGGTTTGTGTGTGGACGTGGGGACCAAGCAAAGCCTTGGGGAGCAAGGCTATGGTCCCCCCCACCTAACCTTGGGCATCACTCATAAGCATATGGTTATGCCACTTGTCGCGTTGTGATTGATCTTAATTATTTATTTAATTTGGAATTAAATAAATTATTGATTTCACCAACTCTCCCACATTGGTGGGAGATTGGAAATTAAGGGTTCATTTCCCTATAAATACCAAAGGCTTAGGTATTTGGGAATACACAACCTTGAGTGGAATTAAAAGGCAACTCTTGATTTGAGTAAACCTTGATTCGTAAAACTCATAGTTTTATTTGTTCGGGTCTCGACTAACCTTCGAGACTTAGGACGCTCGGGTCGGGTTCGAGGGTACAATCCCGTTGGAGACCTCGTATTTTCGGGGTTCAAGTAAGAGCTCATTGTTGAGCGAAGCACGCGTCAAAGGTATAATCTTTTATCCTTTCTTGTGTTTAATTATGTTTTGCTTGTTAATTGCATTTATTATGGGGGCGGGTCTTGGCGGGTTTCTTTCCGCGTAGTGTGGGTCATTACGAAACCCAACAGCGGTATCGGAGCCACGCTCCTTTTAATTTTTGCAATTATTAATTAATTATGGTGTTTTAAAGTAAGATTTAATTTTTGGTTTTTCTTTTCTAATTAGATTAGAAGCTCGTTTTAATTAATTTTAAAACTCGTATTTTTATCGATTTGGCTGTCGAACCCAGATTTTGGCTCAAATATAGTGATTTTTGGGCGGAATCGACATTCTGAAACAGATTCAGTCCTTTTTAAAGGCTGTCCAGAAGCCAAATTTGAACCAGAAACCCAAGTTTATGGGGTTTTTTTCGTTTTTCAACGAAAATTTTAAATCTTTTTAAGCCTTGATTAATGAAAGTATTACAAGGTTAGATTAAATGCATTATTGCATCCCTAATCTACTGCTATATTAAATTTCCTTAAGCATTATTAAGGAGTTTTAATTAGTGCTTGAGTTGATATGCCTTTTTTCACATAAACTTGTTTTTTCACAATTTTGCAAATTAATTGCAATAATGTGTGAATGTTTGATGTGAATGTGTAATTTTAAGTTTCTAATATGTTAAAGTTCTAATCTTTAAAGGTTTAAATGATTGGAACTCTAACCCTAAATTCCATATTGAACAAAGTTTGGATTTTTCATTTTGGTTGATTAAAATCCAGTAAGTTCAAATACTTGTGAGTAAAATTTTGATTAATCTTCATATTGGAAGATGTAATCTTATTATTTTACACAAGTATGAAATTTGGAAAATTTTTATCATTAGATGGTTAATTTATTTTTTCAACTCCCATTTGTCAAATCCATTATTAATTTGCATATTTGTTAAATTAATTATGGACACAACTCATTTAATTTTAAGCGTAAAGAAAGACCTAAATTTGTTCAAAATAAATTTTTGGATGATTTAGGCTTGAGCACCATTAAAATTAAATTTATTTAAGTTAGACTTATTTTATTTTATTTTATTTTTCCTCAAATTGATTCTAAAATGTAATTTAGAATTAATTTTTGTCACACACAAATCAGAATTAAAATTCCTAGTAAAATGCACGCAAATCGATGCAAAAACGCAAGCGTCACCAAGGCTAGCCGGGCTGCCTAGCAGCCCACATGTAGGCTGCCTATGGTGCGCGCATGGCTGAGTATCAATGTTGCGTGGCTGTGTGGCGAAGGATGCTAAAGTGCTGGGCTTGGGCAGTGGCATTGGCTGCTGGCTGCTTGGGGTGCTGCTAGGTAGCGTGGTAGCAAGCACCAGCCAGCCCCCACTTGCTGGCAGGCGCAAGCATGCGAGCAGGCATGCGTAGTGCTGGCTAGCGTAGTGTGTTGTGCTGGGCGCAGCATGCTAGCACCAAGCGCCAGCACAGCCCTTGATGCTGCTGGTGCTGTGTGGCGTAGGCTGCTGGCAAGCTTGTGCTGCTGCTGGGCAGAGAGGCAGCAAGCCCCAGCCAGCCAGCCCACTGCTGCCTAGCAGCCATGGTGCACAATGCCAATGCTTGGGTGGGGCTATTTTGCTTAATTTTTGAGCTATGCAATTTTGCGAAAATTTTGCCGTTTTAAATTATTTATGTAATTATTTTAACGAGGTTAGACCTCGATTTTTCCGGCTTTTGCAAAATTTTTTGATTTTGACAAATTATGGGTTATGCCGACTTAATTAATTGGATTAATTAAGTGTGGATGCGGAATTTAGTG